AAATATATATAATTTATATAGAAAATATTATAAATACAAATATATAATTTTGGTACATTGGCTCGTATCGACTTTTAATACTTATTGTTAGTTATATGTATATTTTCACACGAGCTTTTTTAAATTGTTGTAAAATAAATTTTCTTATATTTTTCGATAAATCAGATCATTATCACAGTTCGATAAAACTAGAAATTGTTCGATCGTCAAGCGCGGCTACATGTTCATATTTATTTATTCGAGGAGTATCGAGTTCGGGGAATTAACTGTATCGTTTCTGCAAGTTTTCATTGAAACTGACCAAGGCAAATCTACGGTCAGCATTCTAATAAATTTGTATATGTAACGCCATCGTTTGCACGCCATCTTATTCTTCGTCTTATATTATAGTCTTTGTTCCGCGACCCGTGTAATTAGATCTGTTAAATTACCACGTGATATAATTCCACGACGGACATGGTATCTGGATCCACCATGTGAGCACCCTGACGTGGCACGAGATCCAAGCCGAGCTTCCTGCAACACGATAAAGAACGAAACACGCTCGTTACGGAAAGTAAAATTGACTCTCGTCGCTTTTTATAAAGCAAAAGATGATAAAAGACATCGCGCTATATTAATCGTCGTTTAATTAAAGAAAGTGGATATTCATACGCAACATTGTTGCGCGATGCAAAATAACACGTAGACTTTCTCACGTATAAGCGACATATAGAAAAGACTATTTTTATCTTACGCTATATTAATCGATAGATACCTATATAAGCATTATCTATAAATAAAATTATCCATCTCGGTGAGCGCCACACACAAAGAATCTTACGTAACGTGTATCGATATAATAAAACTTCCTCCATGAGTTATTACGAGATATATTATCTTTTTATACATGTATACATCATCAGAGGAGAACAAACTCTCTTCATATTTCGAAGGAAACATTTAAGCGCTGCATGTCAGCAGCAGTCAATATACATTTGATTTCTTGACATTTACATACACGTGCGATAAGATGCGAAGAACTAGCATCTTTCTTTTCTTCTGTCGCGATCCGAAAGCATAAAACATCGTAATTTATGACTGTATTCTTAATATTTTCCTTGTTGAGGCGAAGCGAGAGAAAGGGTGGAGAGGAATGTCAAAGTTATGATGAGAGACGTTGGATCGAGCACGCGTGACAAAAATAGTCATGAGATACGTGAGAAGCGAGGAGAAATTATTGCACGGCAACGATGACAACGACGGCCGATTCGAGTCGTGTGCGTCTGCATTATTTGTGAGATTTGCCTTCGAAGTCCGGAGCCCGGGGAGAAATGACTACTTAACTTCTTATGACCCCGCGCGCGCGCGCGGGAGAGCCGGGAGAGAACCGGGTCCGCATGCCTTAGGACCGACGTGTTCTCGAACGCATTGAGAAGGCCCTATAGCAGCAACGGGTCCCGACTCGGCTGCCGCGCGCAGGAAAGGGCCTCCGTTCGCCACCCAAGGAATGCAGGTATACGCGCCGGTTAACGCGCCCAAGTCATTCGCATGCGTATATATATATATATATACATATGCGTATATACATATATACATATATGCATCGCACATGTACACGCGTGATAAAGGACACTGTAAGAAGCCGTACTCGAGACACACGCGCTTATCGTACGCGAAACGGGAGCTTCGCTCGAAACAAATTCCGCGCGAATGTTTCGCAGTTCGAGGTTTCGCGGATTCGTAATTCACAATATGCTGCTACGTAACGTTTGAGAAAATAAAACATTTGTGAATACGAAAAGAAAATATAAAATTCTCATACATACCTGATGCCACAATCCAGCATCCTATATGAACTCACGAATTGATATTTTAATTCAAAATTTACGTGTAAAACATTTACACAAGAAAATATAACTATAAATATATATATATATTTATTTATTTATTTCGCATCCAGTGTAGGCCTTCATTAAACGTCGCGTTGTTGATTTTAAATCTCAAGAGCCCAAAAAACTCTTCGTTAAATTGTTAAAATATAAATACTCGAATAAATTAATTATTGTTAAATAATTAATTTATATAATATGTTATTAAAAAATGCAGTAGCCGCAATAGCGACCAAAAAAACATGACGATAGAAGACGTTCTTTCGGAAATCTGATCTGACAGTCTCTTAAGCTGCTTGAAGAGCAACTCTGGCCGCAGTGACGTAATTATTAAGTCACAAGACTCGACGGCCTACAAGCTGATTACTTAATGTTATTTATTTATACACATTTCAGTCGCGATCAATAATTAATTTCACCCAATTTCCAGACGTACTCGGCCACACTTTCCATACAGACAATTTTAGTCACATTTATTGCGTTTTTTCCGCATTTAGTCGTTAAATAAAAGAAATATTTTTCACTGAATATTTTTCATTGAAAAACAATAGCCAAAAGTGCACCAAACCAATCAAACTGTTGAAAAAACCTGATATAATTTCTTTATTTTTCCTGATCCGGCCTCGTTAAACGATTACGAATTTCCAGTCTAAAAAAACATTAATTGGCAGCGAGACGTTCGTTTTTCAGGGAGAAAGAGAGCGAGGAAAAAAGAGAGATAGAGGAAGAGAGAAAAAGTACAGCAGGCTGCCTTTCACGAGCTCGATGTTAGGGTAAGATTAAATTAAGTGGTAGGTTTGAAAGAGTTGAGAGAGCGCGCGGTTCCACGGCACGTTCGCTCATTTTATCTTTTCTTGTTCTTTTTTTTTCCTTTTTTATTTTTTTTGTAATTTTATTTTACGGTCCAGACTCTCTCGAACCTGAGAATTTCCCGCCCTTCCTAGTGACTACGTCACTGATCTCGGTGATTCGGTGTACACACCGCGTATCCCCGTCATCGCCGAGCCGGTCCGCTAGCTATCTTGAATTTCTGCTTTCTCTCCGTCTTTTCTTCTCCGCCATGTATGCTAATCGCTTAGAGAAGTATAATTAACAAATTTTACTCGTCCGTGTGTGTTACAACGACATCAGCAATTAGAAGTTTTGCTTAAGGAAAACATCTTTAAGTTTCTTATAAACAAACACGCGCGCACACACAGAAAAACATACTGTATCCAAGTATATAATATATAAGTTTATATATCCGCAAATATATTATAAGATTCTTGTAAGTATTTAATTTACTCAAAATACACTCTAAATCTTAGTAAATTTGTATTTTGAGTAAATTAAATACTTACGAAAATCTTATAATATATTTGCGGATATATAAACTTATTATATACTTGATACAGTATGCATTTTTCTGTGTGCAGAATCCGATTTTCTTATAAAAACAATTGATTTGCTGTGTATAAAAATTAAACTGCGTACAATATTATTGGAATTTTTGATCGATAGCATATTGTTTGGAAAAAACGCGTTGTTAATCAACAGTAATTTCAATTTTAAATAAACACCTTTTACGTACATAATAATGCGTAATAACCCTTTTTACGTACATTGATTAATAAAAATTTAATGCGCAATAATTGAGAATCGATATGAAAATTCGAGCAGGGAGCGACGCGCAATTTACACAGCCCTGCACAGGCCCCGAAAGGTCCCCTTCCAGGTCCCTCATGATGGAATGCAGGTGAGCAGGCAGACTTCGATGCGTGGAGACAGGTTCAGGCAATGTCCGCCGCCGCCGACGCCGCCGCGTCGCGTTGGGACCTATGCTCTATTCCAAAGATATCGGATAATATTCCAACAGACATCTCGGGAGCCCGTTCTGTGGATCCGTGAACGGCTCGACGATGACGGGAAACGTGTTCAGAGCTTCTCCCCTCTTCATTGTCTCTCTTGTGGTCGTCCCATCTCGGAGGAATGACGAATTTGCTCGGCCAATGGCACTTCGAGGCACAATCGACGTGCCATTGGTCACGAAAATGGAGCTCTGAGCTTCGGCGATACTCCGAAGCTCGTGATACGGCGAAGTTCGACGACTTCCTCGCCCACGTCGGGGCGAAGACCATTCATCTCGCGCGGGCGCGCGAGGGCATCGAACCACCATTTCGTCGAGATATCGATGTTAATGCTCGCCTCGTCTCAATGAGGAAGAGCAATTAGTTAAACTCGTTGCTCGTTTTGTCTTCGGTGGACAATAAAATCAGGCAATAAAAAAAACAAACAAACAAACAAAGCGGAAAGACAAATATTTTTGTGTGTAGTGAACGACCGATTTATTTTTATTGTTCCACTTCTCGTATCTCTGTTTGAATTCTCTCTTTTTATCTCTTTTCACGGAAGACTCCTTTCATCCGTTTGACTCTATCAGTGAAAGGAAGATACCATCGCGGCTTTTCCCGTTCATTAAGCAAGGAGATGTCAGTTTCAGAAGCTCCTTTCTCGCGTCGCTCAGGGAGGTTTCAGAGTTACCGTTCGGTAGCTCTAAACGCTATAATTACGTCGGTGCTTCTGGGAAGTCAGTCCCGTGGACTGACTTTCGTTCCGACTCTCGGAGCAAATTCATTTCGTCCCTCTGTATCTCGCTGTCTCTTTACCTCTTTGAGTACGTGTAGTCGATACACTCGTACTATTGACGCGACTTAACGTCTGATGGACAACGTGTCGCTTCGTACGCGCGGAACGTAGATCTTCTTCTTTCAACGCGATTAAAGTCGTTTCCCTAGCACGGACATGTTCGCTCGACCGAACATTTTTTACGCTGCCTTATTTAATTTCTCTAACGTTTAACTTTGTTCTTTAAAAGTGTCCGGAACGGAACTATGTAACTGAATTAATGACTCCGAAAAAAACGTTAATTAGCAAGATCGCGATTTTCTTTATGTGAGTCATCGCCGCGACTGAAATTTCGAAGCAAATTATTTCTTTATCGTGTGAAATTGAGGAAACGCGCGTTCAGAAAAAGAAAACTTGCGTATTTCGCAATGCTGTCATCAGGTCCGCGATTGCGTCACGTGCCCCCTGGAGCCAGACAGGTGGTTCACACGCGAGAGCCTCGCGCGCGCGTCTTGCTTCGCCGAGTTATTCGCGTGACCGTGTAAAACGGCCTTAATGGGAGTGTTTCCTGATCCCGGAACGAGTAACGAGACTCGTACGTACAGTAAAGGGTTTCGTGGGAAGACGCGAACGTCGAGGCCGGCTTCGCTCGAGGGTATACGTACTCGCACGTACATACACAGGCGTGCATGCATCGAGTGTGCATTCACTCGCACACATTTATATTCGCGCGCGCACACACACTGTGTCGGACGTGGCCGCTAGCTCGCATTCGGAGAATCGCGCGCAAAGTCCCGCGCGTACGGACTTGCCGCTTCATGCAGAAAGGCGGCGAAGCAATAGATGTCAGGGCCAAATCTCCGATTCTCTCCCCAGTCTCTCAATTAGACGGAATGACGAGCGATTAGGCGCGATTAACCGCGACTCTCTAATCTCGCGATTTTTTTTCACTAAAAATCGAGCTGCAACAGTTACTAAGTGTAACAGTGCAAATTTTCTTGGTGAAACTACACGAGTAACGAATATTTATAAACTAGTTTTTTTTGTGGAAAATCTCGTGAAAACGGCAGAGTTTTCTAATGTTTGCTCGAGATAATTATTATTTGTTTACATCTCAGTTTGAGATGAAGTATTTTAATTTTTTTTCGTTTAAAAACGTCTCATTGTTTAATTTTAAATATTGATTTGGTGCTTTGTGCGAGATCATTTCAATTCTCCGCCGCCGGAAATATTGTTTCCGAGATATCGCGAAATGATGCGCCTCGTCGCGCGTCGTCCAGCGAGTCTCGGATGGATTAAAGCATTCATTAAAATCGTCACACTTTAACGCACAACGCGCGCGCTATTCCGCCTGAAAAGCGGAAAATCGGAATTCAACGACGCTGCGGAAAAAACAACTCGAGGAAGAGCGCGGAATCTTGGAAAGAGTACACGAAGAAAGAGCCTTTTTCCTCCTTCTTCTCGCGACTTCCGTTCCTAGGTGCTTATTAACGCTGACGAGATCGCCGCCATTCATTAATTTTTCTCGTCCGACTCTCCGGTAGCCGCGGAACTCGCTGGCCCTTCTCCCCCACGTTTTCCTCCGGGCCCGCCGGACCCCGTGCTGTACAGCACTGGACCCCGACGGCCGCACCGTGCTACGCCGATACGAAGTTACGGCAAAAAGAAGGGATAGATCTCTTAAGGCGATTTCACACGATTCGCGCTTCGAGACGTACGACCCCGACGAAGTTCGAGATAAACGTGTTTGATAAGAAAAGTGCATTTTGTTTTTTTTTAATAACGAGACTAGATACTTTTATTTTACATACACAAATATGCACTTGATGCGTTCATGTTTCCGATATAAAATTGCTATGAACTTTGCTTTAAGTTTAAAAAGTAATTGCTGCTATTTACGCAAGCAAACCTTTTATAAAACCGTTTAGAAACACATTAACAGAAGATTTGCATTACAGAATGTCTACGAATAAAGAATTCAAAGAATAAATCATATAATGAATTTATCTTCTTGTAAACCGAACACACTAACAGAGGATTCGCTTTGTATCTGCGAATAATGAATTCAAGAAATATCATACAAACACAGATCCTTTCTTTCATCTTCTAATCGCCTTTTGATGTAAATAAGTTTTTTACGTGTGAGAAACAACGAACGTAAACGTTCGTTTTTCACACTTTGTCCGACTTGCATCCGGGACAAAAAGCAAATCGTGTAAATTTACGGGAAAGCTCGATGAGGCGATTACGCGGACGGGAGTTCCTTTGTGCAGCGTTACCTTAAAAAGGCAACCGCGAGAAAAAAATGAGAAGAGAAAGAAAGACGATATTGAAAGATGTGCGGAAACAAAAACGACCGAGAGAGATTGGCTCACATCGCGTTCGCTCTCAGAAACAATAATTGTCGATAGACGCGGATAATGAATGTTACCGCCACCGTCGTCGTCGTCGTCGTCAGCCGACGCGTTCGCCGCTCGCAAACCGGGAAGTAACTTGACCGCGACCGACAACCGGCAATTAGGTAAGTGGAATATATTCCCCGCGCTGATAACGATATCATTACTCGCCCTCGTCGTCATCGCGAATTCGTTTTCAACCGCTCGATAAGACCCGAGAGCGCATCCAGTCAGCTGATCCCGATCTGTTCGAGGATCTAAAAACTAACGTAACTGTATTCTTCGTCTAATGGAAGATTTGCGCAATAATAACCAAACGTAAAATTTCAATAACACTGAAAAGAACACAAAGAGTCTCGATCTTTCTTTTGAAATGCAAATCAAAATCGTATTTCGAGATATATCTGACAGTCCCGGGTTGCAAGTTGCCGAATCTTGTAATACAAAACTTTTTTATCGTCAAGCGTTTCCGAAACAACTTTTTTTCGGGTAATTTCTTTTTGTTGACAACATTAAAACTACTGGATAGCAAAATGTAGCGGTTTGCGGTATCGTGTAACAAAACTAGAATAACATGTAATTAATTAAAGAATTCTAGACATTCGGAGATTGAAGAAACTTAAGGACTAGGTTAGCAACCTAAAATATCTCTTCTCATGAGTAAGTTTGTACTGCTGTAACAAAATTAAGTTGAGTAACTGCTGTAACAAAATTAAGTTGAACTATTCAGTACTGCTAAGACCCGCTTACTCTGCGCAGAAGTTCAAAAATAGCTGCAGTACACAACGCACATAAATCCAGCAAAACAAAAAAACCCCTAAAAAAACAAAAAAAAGCTACAGTTTGAAAAAAAGGTTGCTTGCCATATTATTCAAAATCGTATTTTAATTAGGACACTCTCCACTACCACATACTTGTTTTTTAAAAAAATCCTAAGAAAATTGTCGTC